GTTCCGGGTTTAGGGTTTAGGCAGGGTTTAGGGTTTAGGGTCTAGGGTCTAGGGTTTAGGGTCTAGGGTTTAGGGTTTAGGGTCTAGGGTCTAGGATTTAGGGTTTAGGGTCTAGGGTTTAGGGTCTGTGGGATCTGCAGACATGGGGTTCGGGGTTTAGGGTTCTGCAGACATGGGGTTCCGGGTTTAGGGTTTAGGGTCTGTGGGATCTGCAGACATGGGTTCGGGGTTTCGAGTTTTAGAGCTTTTGTTGTTTTTTTTGGAGGGGGGGGGGGTTAGGGTTTAGGGCGAGTTTTGTGCTCTAGGTGGCCGAGCTCTGGGGCGCGCGTGGAAAGTTAGCTCTTGGGGGCCTGTTTTGGGGGTTTTCGTGGAAGGAGAGCCTGGAGAGGAGGTAGGTTGGAAAGGAAGGGTGTGCTCGAGCGAGTTCGGCTTGATATCTTGATGGCTGAGGCAAGCAAGCACAGCCCGGCGAATCACACATGTAGAGTGGGTTTAACACCAAAGTGGCACCGCCTGACTAATCAATGTCCCCAGACATCATCTATCACCGTGCCCCATCCATCTCACATGTTTACTGTGATGGTAGTTCTCATTCAGGCTGCAGAATGGTTCCCTCATTTCCTCTCAGGGGGCACAGAAACTAAGGATCCCATGTTCGGGGGATAGGAAAACTTTTTTTTCTGAATACAAGAGCTATTTGGGCGCTGCTCGACCGAAATCCCCATAAGGACCCCCACAACGGAAAACCCAGCAGCCTTACTTGTGAGCTCCCTCGTCTCATAGGCCCCATAGTAGTTCCTTTTGGTGGCTTCTGTTTAGGATCCTATTAGGTAATCCCAAAATGGAACTACTGGGCCTATGGTCTAGGACATTTTCAGGTGGAGCCTTATAGAAGGTCTATATACCTTGTATGGAAGCCTTCTAGAAGCCCTATATACCCTAACCTCCCCACCTGTAGTTTCCGTTAATATGGGTAGTCACCAGGCTCGGCAACATGCGTCCTCGTCGCCAGAACGCCAGTCGGCTTCCAGAGCGCCTGCCCTGGGATTGGAAGGGCTTTAGGGTTCAGGGCTCAGGGNNTAGGGTTTAGGCTTTAGGGGAAACCTCGAGTGCAATATCACGCGTCACGTCCTGCACCTCCTGCGGACACTTTCTTTCTGGACATCGGTTTATAGGATTTCATATGTCAATCCTGGTAGCCTTGCTCTGCAAAGAGATACGCTAGTCACGCATCCGACAGTGTATTCTGGCGAGACGGGCAGGCCATGGATGTAGTACTATAGGGTAAAATTCGTGAAACGTCGTCATGTGGCGGCACTGTCTCCATCCTCGCGCTTTTGCCAAGGTTGTCATTAGAAGGGTTGAGTTGCCACGGGCCCTTCTGAATCACTCCGAATGACTTGATTGATTAGTTTGCCCTGTCTTTCTCGTGTCATGTGCACTTTCTCAGTATTCTAGATTGAGGTTTTTTGGAGCCCGGCACCCTTGAGACGCGATGCGCAGTTGTAAATTTCCAGGGTGAGTTATCGGCCGCAAACATGAACCACGGATCATGCGTCTACCTAGCACTGCACTACAACTAATTCACCCCC